ATATGCAAATAAATAATTTTTTAAAAAACATCTTAAGGATGTATAGTTAAAAGGTTATTCAATATCAGTCATTAAAAACCATAAGGCCCCAACGGATCCTATTAGTTTGCTGGACAGAGAACATGGGGGCAGCAGCAAAGGATGGGAAGATCTTCTTCCCATTATGCATGGTGCCCAAGTCAAAGCAAAAGCTCAGAAATAGTAGTATTGTTTTTATGAATATCAATTGATTATCATTATTTCCTCCATTTTATAGCCAAGAAAGCTGGGGGAAAAGTGGAGAAATAAATTTTTCAAAGTAACACTTACTGGCCAAGTGGCTTGATTAGACTTCAAGTACGGGGATTGTGCTTTACTTCTCTAAAAAACAGCAACAGCAAACACTTCGATGTATCTGGGGCTTACAGTCTTCCAGACACTCTTCTTTGTGGGGAGATTCTGTGTAAATCTCTGTAATGGGTGTCATTCATGCATCTGACTCTCAGTGGGTTTTCTGAGGCAGTAAGCATCACAGGACGAGAATGCCCATCTGTCTTCTGCAGAGCAGCTGATGGATTTGAACCACATGCCTTTGGGTTGGCAGCACAACTGCTTACACTAGACCAGCAGAGTTTGTTTGTCATAACTAGTGGGGCACAGCTTCCAGCTTCTCAGCAGCACACAAGCCACATGGCAGGACAAACTGGGTAGTGAGCACACAGAATAGATGCTCAATATTTGTATGTTAAAAAAAAAGAATGAATGGATGAGTTTTTTTATTCTTCATCTGTAAAATGAAGATAATAAAAATCTCACTCTCCAAGAATTGTTGAGGTGGCCTAGTATTAACAAGTTTCACTGCAATCCCTAAGGAATGTAGTTCGAGGTCACCAGCTGCTCCACAGGGAAGGATGAGCAATCTCCTCCCGTGTGATTAACTGCCTCTGAAAACCCGCTGGAGGGTCAGCTGTGTGTTGGTTCCAACTTGACCATACACAATAACAACAACAACATACACACATGATATATATAACATGTACAGCTGCTGGCACAGGGATGGGCAGCCTTCAGTCTGATGTGCATACGGTTGTCAAGAGTCTGAGCTGATACAATGTCCAGCTCCTACCTACCTGTCTGTCCTGTGCTAAGGTCCGAGGATGAAGAACCAAAAAAGGCCAAGACCAGTTCCCAGGAACGCCAGGTGGTGCGTTTCAGGAGGGCATTCTACATGCCAGCCCAGGCCTCTTCCCACACCCCAGTAGGAATCTGTGTGCTGGGGTCCTGGGACGAGTCTGCAGTGAGGCATAGGTACACAGAGATGTTGGTTCTGGGACCTTTACAGGGAAGACTCTAGGATTAGGGCACATGCCAATTTAAGAATCCCGGTGCTGCTGGATGCTCTTGTTGTTATGTGCCATCATATTGGAACTGACACAAAGCTGATCCTCCAACAGGTTTAAAGAGGCTGCAAATCTCACAGGAGGAGATTGCCCATCTTTGTCCCATAGGGCAGCTGGTGGATTTGAACTTATCACTAGGCCACTGGAGCTCCCTTAGGGCAGGAAAGCCCAGTTTTCTCACTTCAAGGTGGGACGCTGTCTAACTTATCCTATACAGTTCCCTGCTTAGTCTCAGTTATTTCTTGAGTCCAGGTTCTAGTGGATGAGGGGTCATGTTCCTAAAACAATTGGTGCAGCAGTTTGGAATCCTTTGAGTGGAAGTCACAGCCTTCCGGGAGCTGGGGAGGCCTTAAAGACAATCTTATTTATTATCATCTACTATTGTACTAATGAGAATATGGAGAAATAGATCGAGTAACAGGGTCAAGATCACACAACTGGCTGGTGGCAGGACCAAGGTTAGGGCTTCTAAGTTTGCTCCTCTCTTCCCAACATGATGCTTTCTCACTTATTCCTGGGGCTGAAAGAAGCCGGTTGTGACTTTCCTGGGTCCAAGTGCCCGTGCAGCAGGCTAGGTCTGAGGTCTAGGTGGCTTGTGTCCTCCACCCTCTCAGCTTCCCCAACCAGCCCCTTTTCTACTTGCCTAATTCCTTTGCTCCCCCTTCTGCCTCCAGGGATAGCAATTGCTTAGCTCTAGATTATTCCTTGGCTGATTTGATCTGAGAGCTGGAAACACAATGTTAATTAATGTGTCTGTGACTTTTAGGCCTGCTGCTGAGGCCCAAGTCCTCGCTGTCCCCAGAGTCCAGCAGGCTTTGTGAGCTGGCCCTCTGGCTTCTCCCAGCCAAGCCACAAATGCATATTTTAATAGTGCACATCTGTTAGCTGTATAATTTCCCGTATTTGCCCTCTTCGTTTACTTGATGGAGACCCTCAAGGGTGTCCCTTGGTTCTACCCAATGTATTTGCTTTGCAATTTTGCTGGAATATAATATAATTCTGTTCTCACATCTCCTGCAGGTTCTAATCAGGCTCTTATTTTATTTAATTAAAAATCTATCTTAGGCAAATAGACTAAATCAGGATTCTCTCTTGTTCCTGGAATGCAGGGAAGGCAGCCCCCCTTAGGGAACTGGCTGGGACATTTCATCTGGCTGAGATGTCATAGCACAGCAGATGGGGAAGACTGGCTGCACCAGGGTGGAGCAATCCCTCTGTCTTTGTTCTCTGGAACAGCTTCCCTGCCTACCTTCTGTTGCTGAGCAGAAGCCTCCTATCAGCCAGCTGAGGGCTGCTACAGGGCTTCCCTCTGGGGTGGCAGGGATGTACTTGACATCAGAGATTCAGCAAACAGAGTTCCTAGGGTCAGTAGAGGCTGGAGACCTCCCATGACCTTGAGGACTCATCAGGGAGGATTGTGAGCATGGCTCAGGCAATTTCTTTTTGGGGAGGGGCTTTTGTGTTGTCTGCATAGAAGGCTCCTCCAGCTGCCAGGAATTGTAGCAGGTAATGATGCTGTGCCCGCTGGAATGCCCCTCCTCCTGCTCAGCCACACTGGTACAAACTGTTGCTATATACTGGAATATAGCACAACAAAACCTGCTGCTGTCCATTGGACTTCTGAGGCTATCGTTACAGGAGGAGACTGTTCATCTTTACCCTTAGGAGCAGCTGGTGGATTAGAACTTTCAGTTAGCAGCCTGATACACTACCCAATGCACCCAGGCCTCCTTGGAACATAACAAGCCCATCCCAAACCCAGCTATGTGCCAGAGAGAATGTCCAGCCATGTCCTGTGGGGATTGGCTGTCCTTTAGGCATGACTCAGTATAAAACTGAGGCTGAGTAGCTAGTGTTGGTTTGTAGCTGGCCGACCTGGAGCCTTATTTGAATGTGACTGAGTTGTGGGCATCCCTTTGCTTACTGACCTCACTTCCTTATTTGGAATAATTAAGATTTTGGATGCTGGATTTGCATAGAGTTGGGATGCCAGAGATCACAGGCACACATGCATGTGTCTTACTGGGTGAGTGTTTTACTGATGTGATGTTAGGACAAGATGCATCTCCATCTGTTCTAGGTTCTTAGGGGGGATGCCGGAGCAAGGTCCTGGTAAGGGAAAAGCTAATCTAAGGTTTGGTAGTTTGAATGTGGCCAGCAGCACTGTGGAAGAAAAACCTGGTGGTCTGCTTCATAGGACTGCAGCCAAGAATCACCCAGGCACAGTTTTGTGCTGCCCATGGAGACTCCACGGGAACCTCTTGTTTCTCCCTGTCCTCCGCCGTCCCCGCAGGGTGCAAGCCAACAGACTGCAGAGCACTCCAGAAAGAGGCTTAGGTAAGTATAAAGGTGAGCACTTGGCAACACCCTTAGCAAAGTTCTTTCTGGATTTTGCAGGTCTCAACAGCAGACTCCTCCAGGACCCCCACAATGCAGCATCCACACCTGCAGGCCCTCTCACAGGCCAGAGTGAGCACTAAGGGCTGTAGGAAGCTCACCACTGACTGGCCTGAAGGCCTTCTGGTCCTGAGCTCACCCCGGTTAAGCGTTCCTCCGGGCCTGTCTGCTGCAGTGTTCCGAGTACTCTGTCCTGGTGCATTAGCCTGTATAGATCCGATGGTAACTTTACACCTCATCAATATTTCATCTCAGAGCTGTGTCCAACTGCCACCTTGCTGTCTGTCACACCTTCTATGCAGCTTCTCACAGAGGGTGAGGACAATAACTCTGGTCTCTGTTGACCAGGGTCTGGGGAGATGCAGCCTCGTCCCAAGTGGGGGCTAGGTGAGCCCCTTGTTCTCCGAGTACCAGTTTCTCAGCTGTGCTAACACTCTGCTGTGGGATGTATCAGGACAGCTGAGATGAGGTGTGTGGAGGAACTTGGAAACCTGCTGAGAACTATGTCATTACCTCTGTGGTAGCCTAGCATCCTGGCCCCTGTTCCTCATCAACTTCTGGCCAGTGGAGGGAGAGGAGACTTCAGAGATTAGGGCAAGGCAAGTTAGGAGGCCCTGGGCCCATGGCCACATTTTCAGGCAGGACTTCTGGGAGGAACTGGGAGTGATGGTGCACCAAGGAGACAGGTGACTTTTGGGATCAGGGCCTAGAATGCACCCTTCCGTGAAAGACTTAGGACAGCACCTCGCCTTGAAGAGCAGTGGAGGCCAGGAGGGAACCAGGCTGCTGCTGGTTCTCATGGGCTCTGAGGTCTCTGGGAGAAACAGGTTTGAGGTCAATTTTGATAAGGGTGGTAGTGGAACAGGAGGCCAGCTTAGGAGAAAGGGGATATGCGTTTGCCTTTAACTCCATTGCCAGAAGAGGTTAGTCACATAGAACTGCTCCCTGGTAGACCAGCCTGCTTCCAGGGGCCCTAATTTGCAACTGGACATAGCAGCATTGGACAAGGCCAGGGGCCAGTTTGGCACCACTTTCTGATCTGCTAATGCAGGAACCTTTCCTTCCTCTCTTCCCTGGGTTAGGAAGAACAGAGGAGTGAGCCCTGCAGGATGCTCCCAGTGGCAAGTGGCCCAGGCTGGCTGGCTGGACCCTCCTGGAGAGGAGCTGCTGGGCCTCCCCAGCATCCCCACCACCTTGTTGCCCTCCCATATGGACCCTCCTTACCCAGGACTGTGAGGCGTGCAGGGCGGGACCGGATGGCAGCCTGGATGGCCTGGCACTCGTACACTGCATCGTCCTGCAGTTCTGCCCGCAGAATCTTCAGGTGATGCTCACCTGACAGGTGGTTCCCTACCACCAGGTACTGCGGGTAACCTGTGGAGACAGCAGGCCTGTCAGCGGAAGGCAGCCATTCACTATCAACAGTCAGGGACTGCAAGTGCAGTGTGCAGGGTGCTTGGCGGCTGGGCCCTGATCACAGGAGGAGAAGGGGAGAACTAGATTTCCAGACAGCTGCAAGTGTGTGTGTGGTATGGTGTGTGTATGTATGTGTGGTGTTGGTGTAAAGTGTGTATGTGTGTGTGATGTGTGTGTGGAATGTGGTGTGTGTGGTGAGTGATGTGCCTGTGTGTGATATGTGTGGTGTATAGTGTGGTGTATGTTTGCAGTGTAGGATGTCTGTGACGTGACGTGTGTGGGGTGTGTGTGGGGTGCGTGTTCATATAGTATATGTTTGCAGTGCAGGATGTGTGATGTGTGTGGGGTGTATGTGTGCAGTGCAGGTTGTGTGTGCTATGTAGTGTAGTGTGTGTGCTGTGTAGTTGTGGAGTGTGTGTGTGGTGTTTGTGTGCAGTGCAGGATGTGTGTAATGTGTGATGTGTGTGGTGTGTAGTGTATGGTATGAGTGTGTGTGGGATATATGTTTGCAGGATGTGTGAGATGTGGAATGTGGTGTGTGATGTGTGTGGGGGGTGTGTGGCGTATGTGTACAGTACAGGATGTGTGTGATGTGTAGTGTGGTGTGAGTGCATGTGATATATGTGCACAGTGCAGGATGTGTGTGATGTGTGACATGTGCGTGTGAGGCGTGTGGAGTGTGGTATTGTAGTGTTTGCATGTGGTACGTGTGATAGATGTAGTGTGTATGAGAGTGTATTTTTGATGTTCATGTATGTGTGATGTGTGTATGTGTGGTGTGTGCAGGGACTGTGATATCTGTGTGGTGTGTGGTGTGGAGTGTGTGTGGGATGCGGTGTTTGTGTGGTTTGTGTGACATATGGTACATGTGTGGTGTGTGTCTAATGTTTGAGTGTGGTGTGCATGTGTGGTGTGTGACATTGTGATGTGTGTAATATGTGTGCGGGGTGTGGTGTCATAGTGTTTGTGTATGTGTGGTGTTTATGTAGAAGGTGCTGTGTGTGGCATGTGTGTAGGGTCATATGTGATGTATGTGTGTGATGTGTATGTGATGTGTGAATGCGTTGTGCGTCTTATATGTGTTGATGTGGTGTGCATAATGTATGTGTGTGGTATGTAGTGTGTGAAATGTGTGTCATGCTTGTGTGTGGGGTGTACGTGTAGAGTGTGGTATGTGTGTGTGGTGTTTGTTGTGGTGTGTGGAGTGTATATCTAATGCTTTTTTGGTATGTTTTGTGTGTGAAGTGCGGTGTGTGTGTAATGTCTCTATGTGTGTGTGTGTGTGTGTGTGTGTGTGTGTGATGTGTGTGTGGAGGGTGATGTGTTTGTGTGTGGAGTGTATTAGTGTGTCCCTGTGTTTTGTGTGTATGGTATATGGGATGTGTGTAGTGTTTGTGTGTGAAGTGTGTGTGGTATGTGGGATGTGTGTGTAGAATGTGTTGGGTGTGTTTAGTGTTTCTCTCTGTGTGTAATGTGTGTGTGGGGTGTGATATATGTGTGTATATCTGCATATGTGTCTATGAAAGTGTGGGAGCAGCTGCCCCTACTGCACAGCCCCCACTTTGTGTTCCAGGTGCTTGTAACTATGACTGATGCTGAGCAGTTGTCAGTGGAGTTCCAGGCTAAAAGGGACTAGGAAGCAAGTGGTAATCTACTTCTGAAAACAGCCTATGTAAACCCTGTGGGCCACAAGAGAGCCAATCCTATGGGCCCCAGAGCTGGTGCAGACCAGGAGGCTTTCATTCTCTCATGCGGGGTGGGTGGGAGGCCCTATGTGTTGGGAGAGCTAACACCAACAGCCAAAGTGCTGTGGCGCATTAGGGGCTGAGCAGCTGGTGGAGAGTTTGCCTCCAATTCACCAGTCACTCTGAGAGAGGAAGAACAGCAGTCAGCTCTGAGAATAGTTTGCAGCCTCGGATCATGGGGGTCATCACGAGGACTCGACAGTAGTGGGTTAACAATGACAAGGACAAGGATATAGAGAGGGAAGGAGAGGAAGAGGTGATTAACACTCCAGCCAGGTCATTAGCCTGCCAAGGGGAAGGCACTGGGGGTAGCGCTTTGATAAGTGGACGTCCATAGAGACAGTGAGGGTGAGATTCAGGACAGAGAGGGGGCAGAGTGAGAGAAAGGGAGGACCAGAGGCTCTGGGAGAGGTGCAAGAGTATCTCTAAGAAGGAAGCTTTGCTCCAGTACCCAGAACAGACAGGAAGGAGAACGAGGTTTCCCTGCCAGTGCCCACTACTCTGGCCACTTTGAACTATAAGCACCCCTTTACTAGGTATTCCTGCTACCCACCCATAAACCCGGAGGCCTGATTAAGCACTTATGAGGCACTCAGGACACTTAGGAGTTTGGGGCCCCTTGTACCATTGGTGATGAATAATAGATAAATGGAAGGTTGAAAATTATAAATCATTGAACAGCTTTCTCACTGCTCTGTGTGGCTGAATAGAAATGACAACCAATGTTGTGGCTGGCCAGGTTTACCAGATCTTCTTTTTCCTTGTCTCAGGCCCTAAACAGCACTTCTGAGTTCTGCCTGCCTACCTGAGCCTACCCCACTGTGGGCTCACACCTGGACAGCTGCACCATCTCCCTGTCGGGCCCCTTATTTCCTCAGCCACTTCCCTGCTGCCTCTGTCAGCCCCAAATGGCTCATCACCTTCCTCCTGACAAGGCTCCTCAAAGATGGGCCCCAGGCGAGGGAACGGGGAGTATTTTGCTTTACAGAGAAGAATGGCCTCTAGCCAATGAAAAGGACAGAACAGAGACAGATAGACTAAATCTCCTTGTTTCTCCTAGCAGCATCTCACAGCAGAGACACAATTGTTTTTATGTGCCATTGAGTTGACTACAATTCATAGCGACCCTATGAACAATGGCATTGAACCCTGAAGTATCTTTAGCCAACATCACCATCTCTGACACACCTCATCTCATTGCCACAGTTGTGTTAATCCATCTTATCCAGGGTCTTACTCTCCTGCACTGACCCTCCACCATCCCAAAAATTATGTCGTTCTCCCTTCTGCCCACATGCCTAAAGTATGTGAGATGGGGCTTCAAAATCCTTGCCTCCAAGGAGCAACCTGATTTCACCTTCTCTAGGACTGATCTGCTCTCTTGGCAGTCTTTTCCAGCACCACAACTCAAAGGCATCAATTCTTCTGTCATCCTTTGTTGTCATTGTCCAGCTCTTTGATACATAGTAATAAATGCGAAGACTATGGCCTGGGTCAGGTTCACCTTAGTCTCTAGATTGACATTAGCACTCTGGAGAGGTCCCAAACCAACTCATCTTTTGAGTTCCTGATTGCTGGTGCCAAATGGGTTGACTGTGGTTGCAAATGTTGTTGTTAAGTGCTGTTGAGTCACCTGAAACTCATAGCGATCCTATGTTCAATAGCTCTGAGCCCTGCTCTAGCCTGAGCCAACTTCATTGTCTCCAACGCCCCTAACCTCAATACCACAGTCATTGAGTCAATGCATCTCATCCATGGTCTTCCTCTCCTGTGCTGTCCCTCCACACTCCCAAGCATAATATCCCTCTCCAAGACTGGTCCCCCCTTGCAACATGCCCACGGTATGTGAGATGGAGCTTCAGAATCCTTGCCTCCAAGGAGCAGCCTGGTTTTACCCTCTCCAGGACAGACCTATTTGTTCTCCTAGCATCCCATGGTATATTCAATACTCTTCTCCAGCACCACAAGTCAAAGGCATACATTTTCCATCATCCCTAATCATTGCCTGGCTTTCTGATGCATAGCAAAGTAATTGTGAAGACCATAGCCTGGATCAAAGTGCACCTTACTCTCTAGACTGACACCATTGCTCTTTCACACTCGGGAGAGGTCCCTGACAGCAGACTGTCCCAATGCAATTAGTCTTTTAATTTTGTGGCTGCTGGTATCATGAATGTTGATTGTAGAGCCAAGCAAGCTGAAGCTGTTAACAATCTCAATCTCTTCACTGTCTATAGCTCTCTTTAAATAGTCATGTCTCTTTGTGGGGCTTGGATTTTCTTGTGAGATGTGAGTAGAATTGTAGAGTGGAATTCCTGTATAGATTTTTCTTGGCAGTGATCTTTATAGGCAATGGTGACACAGTGGTTAAAACACTCAACTGCTGAACAGAGGGTTTGTGGTTTGAAGCCATCAGCTATTGTGGGGGAGCACGATGAGTCAATCTGCTTCCATAGAGGTTAAGAAGATGAAGAGATCAAGAAATGAAGCTTCAGAAGCTCCATGCAGCAGCTCTGCTCTGCCCTGGAGTTGTAATTGACTCGATGGCAGTGAACTTACATGTCATGGAGGCCGTTTCTTAGAACTTTTGCCACAATGTTGTCCTGCAGGCTCAAGTCATCCACTTTTAGGTTAGCAGCTGATTGCAAACCCCTTGTGCACCCAGAAATGCCAGAACATCTTAGTTTTTTAAGGGGCCCACCAACACTCCCAAGTGCTCTTGTTGAGGGAGCTATACTGTTAACCACAAGGTGGTGTCTTTTCTGGTGGTTCAAATCCACTGACTGCTCTGTGGAAGAAAGATGGGTGATCTCCTGTGCGACCATGGCCGCCAACCTTACCAGTGTCAGCTGAGATTCTACTTGGACTTGATAGCAATGAGTTGAACAATGTTGCAGGAAACTAGAGAACTCAAACTCATTGTTGTTGTGTCAGAATTCGTCACAGCTGACCCTCCAATGGGCTTTCAGAGATAGCAAATTGTATGGGAGGAGATAACCCACTGTAATCCCAAGGAACTCTGGTGGCCTAGTGGCAAGAAGCTGCACTGCAATCCTAAAGATGCATGGTTTGAATCCACCAGCTGCTCTGTGGGAGAAGGATGGGTAATCTCCTCCCTTGCGATTAACTGCCTCTGAATGTCCACTGGAGGGTCAGCTATGGATTGGTTCTGATTCTACGGTAAACATTAACAACAACAATTTAAAGGAACAATGTCTTTGGGTTGGAAGCACAGCTCCCTACCTACTAAACCAACAGAAAGAAAATACCTGTAATAACTACCTATGCTCAAATGACAGCAGTGTCAGCGATGCTGCTGATTCCTACACTGGCTGAGAGATTTCACAAGCTGGCCTCAATCTGCCTCCATAAGTGAAGGCCCTGCGGAGGAGGTGGACCAGCCTTCCTAGGGGGAGGGGATTCATGCCTGCTCTCTGAAGTGGCTTCCTAAGATGTTTTCTGGGCAGTCTCCCTGCAACAGGGCCTGGGTCCCATCTGGACATGGCCATCACTGGCCCAGCAGCCTCTTCTACTGTGTACCACACAAACAGCTTTGGTCCTCTAAGTCCCACTGCCCCCCTTCCTGCCCTCTGTTGAGCTTTGGGAAGGAGCCCAGGTGAATGAAGCCTCCTAAGGATGGGATCAGGGCTGGAAGTGGATTCTGCGTCTTCCTCTCCTCGCTCAGGGTAGCTGCCTCGCTGCCCCAGCCCTAAGCCCAACCTGGAGCCTGAAGACCTGTGATTGGTCCCCATTCTCCTGTAGGCATCTGGGCTGGAGCTCCTCTTTTGTTGTCCTTCCAGCTATCAGCAGCAGGGTTTGACGTTCATGACCTGTTGGTGAATGGGTAGTGAGTTTAGTTATAAGTTTGTTTGTATTTGCCTAATTAGACAATGTGCTGCGATGTTATCCCAAGGACAGACAACATCTTCAAACTATCAGAAGCCTCGATTCTGAAGACTTTTCTAGTTCCTTCTGCTGTATCATTACTTCCCAGGGAGGAAAATTATTTTAAGTCTGCATTCTACAGTCAAATCACCTGGGTTCCAAAGTCTGCTTTACCTCTTCCTGGCTCTTTTGCTTTGGATAAGTGATACGAACTTCTCTGTGTCTGGTTTCCTTAAAGGTGAAGAGAGGATAATTATGGAACCTTACCAGGTTACAGGAGGGGTGGTCATTCTTGTCTTTCAAATGAGAGACCCCGGTTTGCGTCTCATGCACACCCACCTGCCTGTCAGAGGACCATCCATATTGCTGCGATGCCGAACGACATTTAGGGGAACTTCCAGACTAGGACAACTAGGAGGAAAGACCTGGTAGTCCACTTCCAAACAGTTAACAATGGAAATCCTGTGGCTTAGGATGGCTGGATCTGCCAGTAGCCATAGAGGGGGCAGGCATAGGGCCATGCAGCATTGCCTTCTGTTGGGATGGGGTTCCTCTGAGTTGGGGTAGTCTGATGACAGCTAACAAGAAGAAGAACTGTGTAGAGAGCCTGGCATATAGGAAGCTGCTCATAAATGCCAGCTTATAGAAAAAGGCAGCCTGGTGGGTCAGCCACTGAGACACACATCTTTGGGGAGCACAGAGATTCCTGGAAAGTTTGGAGATTAGAAGGCAGAGTCTCAGACATTGAGATTGGTTACAGGTTTGGGAATTGGTTAAGGTTTGAGTGAATTTTTTTCTCAATTGTGACTTTGTTTACCCTGCATATAAAGGAAGAGATACCTCCCCTCACCCCTTCTGGATTATTGTAGATTTAGAAGATAATGTCTGGGACATACTCAAGCCTCTTAGAAGAAAAACAACATTCTATTGATATGAGGAAGAGTATTTACAATTCATTTTCTTTGATAGATTTTCCCAGTCTCTGTCAGCAGAAAGACATTTAAGTTTTTAGGTTTGGTATAATTCCTGATAGATGAAATGAGACTTGAGAGTGAAGGCAGAAGAGACAAGAGCTGCTCAGAAAGTCCCACAGCTTTGTGCCGTATGGTCTTCATGCAAAATCCTGTACCAGCAAGTGCTCTGCAAGCATAGAATTGACTTCTAGGATTCTCACAGCCACATCAGGCCTGTGAACAGTATTTACTGAGCATGTAAATGTTTATTGGGGTCCCTGAGCAATACACTAGCTAAATGCTTTGCTAGCCAGAAGGTTAGCAGTTCAAATAGGACCTCCTCAGCAGGTCCCTGGAAGAAAGGTCTGGTTTTCTCCTGAAAGGGCACGGCCTTGCCAACCCCACACAGCAGTTCAACTCCAAAACAACAGGTCACATGGGTGGGAACTGAATGGGTGGCAACTCACAAAATAGAGGAACAATAATATTTTTCATCACAGGTGTCATTGTGCAACTTTTGGACAAGTGAGCAAATAGAGGCAAATGCTTTATTAACCTTGATTTTCTTGCCTCTTGACAGGCTACCCAACCCTCTTTCTATAAAGGGGTCCAACTGCACAGGAAGTGCTGCCTGCTTGCCTGAATGTACACTCCTCCAGCACTCAGCAGGAACCAGCCAGGGCTCAGGTGGGCACTCTTCACTTTGGCAAGGACTGAATACTGGAGGAGCAATTCCATCCGTAATACAAAGTGAAGGTCTCTCTAAGAGCCATCTTGCAACGTGCTACAGGGCTTTCGCTTGGCCACTAGCTAAATCAGATCCCACTTAACAGAAGGCTGAAACCCCTGCCCAGAGCTCAGCTCTTTCCTGAAGGAGCAGTGGTGCTGGGCCGTGTGTGAGCAGCTCAGGTTGGGAAAGTCACCTCATCCCTGGTTTTTCTAGGTTAAGAGAATTAAGAATCTCAAAAATTGGCTGGTTCCCATAACACTTAACACTAAAGTGTTAAGGAAGCACAGTATGTTGTGGAGATATTATTGTATATTTTATCCATGCTCAGCTTGGCCACAGCACTCAAATCTTGTGAAGCTATTGAATAGTGTTATAATGTTTCAGTATATACTTTTGGCAAGACATAACTCACAAAAAAATTATTAATTTCCCAACCATCATGTTCCTGAGTGCACTTCAATTTTTTCTTTTCCTGCAGCTGTACACCAGGAGAGAGCAATGCTCCTCTTAGTTGAATATGTTTTCCTGTCTCCCCCTCATCCTCCAATTGCCCCCAAATCACAGGACAGTGGGTCCTGAGTTTTGAAATTTACAGTGGATATGAAGCTTGTGACAGGCTGGTGGGTAAGTGACCAAGGGTGATTAGATTTCTTTTTCCTCCAGGAGAAAGAATGGATTAGAGAGACATCTGTATGGGCTTATTGGTTTGGTATAATGGTGGTCATAGTCCAATGGTGATTAATTTTACAAAACACAGTGTATGGAAATGCTCGTATGAAAAACAATGTCAATGAAAGAAAGTATGGGGAAAATATACATGATGATGATGATGATGACGACGACGACGATGATAATAAATAATAAAAATCAGTTAACAAGTTGTGTGTCATGGGCATTAAGCAACAAGAACACACATCAGCCACAACAAAATGAGAGGTGTGCGTGGTATGGATTCTGGGCACAGCAGCTGGGGTGTGCTCATCAAAGACTGGAGTTTACTCCTAAAATGACTTTCCTTCCATTCCCATAGCCTGCTGGCTCCTAAAATGAACCAGGTTTCCCAAAGCATTTTCCATTTACATGGTCCCTTTACTGGCTGGGGAGAATCAGGGATGGCTTCTCACTAAATGATTATGCCTTGTCAGCAGGGGGATATATTTTGGGCCAAGGCACAGTGACATGTGAACTCTAGAAACCTGCTTTTACATGATCTGTGATCAGAGGGCCCCTCCAAGTCCTGTGGGTTCTGACTCAGGCATTGCCTCGAGGGAGCTGCCATGAAATGCTTATGGAGGTGGGTGGTTGGGTGGGTGGGAAGGATGGTGCCAGGAGAGAGGTCTGGGGGAGGTCTGAGATACTCACTAGAGAGGTCTCTGCCCACGCCCAATGCCAGGCCATCCTTGATCCACAGGACGAAGCCATCATACTCTGGGATGGCACACAGCAGGGTCACTGGTTGCCCTGACACCACCACCTGGTCCTGGGGCTGCTGGCTGAAGGAGTAGACCTGACCTGGGAGAAAACAAGAGAGAGCCAGTTTAGCTGTGGGAAGTGCTGCTGTGCAGAGTTGTTGGGGGTTTACCCTTATAGTGCAGAAGCAGAGTTGGGCTGGAGACTAGGCCCCACACTTTCTGTCTGGGGTCCTGCGGGCAGGGCTTCCTCACTGGCCTCTGCTCCAAGTTTCAAAATCCCAGTTACATTCTGTTGTGTGGAACCCCATGGCAATGTGTCAGAGCAGAACTGTGTCGCTCAAGGCCATTTTCTTCTAAAGTTCTTGTGTTTCCAGTGAAGGTTTACGCAGCAGTGCAGATTCCATTCAACAATTTCTATGCATGTTCTTCAGTGACATTGTTACATTCCTCACAACATATGAACATTCTATTTCTTTTCTGGTTGCTTCATTTCCATTAATCTAGTTTCCCTGGCTCTGTAAAAGTGTCATCATTATTTAAAAGTAAGAAACACGAAGTGAATAGAAAAAAAAATGTTTACTTTTTAAAGGATTGTTTAAAAAAAGGAATTGTTGGTTGTTTGGTCCCACATGGATAATGTTTTAAAGGAGGATCATTCCTAGGGGAGATACTATGTTTTGACATGATTCATTGTTTAAGTCACCTGCTGATCACAGACTTAGTTTTGGTTTAAAATTTGAAGAGTGTCTCAGATTACTAGTCTAAGAGACTGCTCTGGAATCAGCTAGTCCATGAGCTCTGTGTATGTGTGTGTGAACTGAAGAGACTGCTCCCATTTTTCTCAGATTCTCTCTCTCTCTCTGTGTGTGTGTGTGTGTGTATGAACTGAATGGACTGCTCCCCATTTTTCTCAGATTCTCTCTCTCTCTGTGTATGAACTGAAGGGACTGCTCCCCATTTTTCTACAGGCTCAGTCTGCCTACTGGGGCCCTGATAACCACAGTTGGTCACAGTAGTCAGGCACCTCTAGTGCCCCTGCCCTCAGGCAGACTTGAGTCCTCAAGCCATGTCTCCTGTGCACAATTTGTCCTACAGACAAATCTTCTTTACACTTTGGGTTTCCTTCTTTCTCTTTTGCTCCAGGCAAGAAGAGACAAAGAATTGTGTCTTAGATGGCTGATCATAAGTTGCTTTTTTGTAAATTTGTTACTGATATTTAAGAGACAATTTATGGAATAACTTTATGCCAAGCAATTTATACCCATTTCAATTTGTAACAGTAGCTAACCACTAAACCCTTCTCCATGTTTGCTGTCTCCATTCATCCTCTTCTTTCTCATGCTTTCTGCCTTGTCTTTTGAGCTTCATCCTTAGGCAAATGTTAGACTTTAATGTCCTGTGGTGGACTGTTGTAGGGAGTGAGCGGTAATTCTCTGGAGACATTGCTCACTTTAGAGGCCTGCCTATTGTTTGGTAGAAAATTGAGTTGTGAGTGACCAAGGGATTTGGAATGGAACTCTGCTGGCTTAGTGGTAGAGTGGTGTGCTGCCAACCAAAAAACCAATTGTTTAAACCCACCAGATGCTCCGTGGGAGAAAGATAGGCAATCTCCTCCTTTGGGATTTACTGCCTATGAAAACCTATTAGAGAGTAAGCCATGAGTTGATTCCGACTCAATAGCACATAACAACATCAACGAGGTGTTTGTAAAGCAGAGGGTCAGTGAAGACCCTCAGTGAGATGGATTGATAGCATCTGCGACAGTGGGCTTGGGCATGGAGGTGAGGGCTGGTGGTGATGGATGGAGACGACTCCACATTGATGAGCAACAATAATTGTAAGAGTCTCAAGTGTTCTATTCACATCAACCCAACATTTAACCTTCATTTTTAGTATTCTGAGCTTTGTTTCACATTTTTCTATTACTATGTCCAAGTTGTCCATGGAGGCTGAGGTTCGCGTGGCCTTACAGTCTTGTGGATTAATCATTTCCATCGATCTTTTTTTTTTAAGGAAAAATGTACATTATTCCTCAAAAAGAGGTAGGAATCCATTTAGAACCACTTAATGGAACACACCATGGAATGCCAAGAAAACAAATAGATCTCCCTTGGAGATGGAAACAAAGTTTCTCCTTTGAGACTAGGATTTTGAAGTTCTGTTTCACATCCTTCGGGCATGTGGTCGGGAGGGACCGGTTCTTGGAGAAGCACATTATACTTGGAATGGTGGAGGACAGTGCAGGCGAGTGAGACCAAGGATTAGATAGATTGATACAGTGACTGGGGCAATGGGGGTTGGTGTGTTCGAGTCAGTGAGACAGGCTTAGGACAGGGCCGACTTCAGAACTCTTGTATAGAGAGGGTCATTGTGAGTTTCAGGCAACTTGATGGCATATAACAACAACAACAACAACAGTGGACCAAACCTGTTCTGGAAAGGATGCAAGGGACGAACTGATTATCTCTGGTTCCTAAATTAATTTCCCCAGACACTCTCCCCCATTCTTCCTTGTCTTTTCATCTCCAGAGTAATATATCATATGGTCATCTGACTCAAAATGCCCCATGCCAGTCCATCTCATATCTCCAATGCCTAATATGTCAATATTTATGCGTTTCATTTCTTTCTTAACAATTTCTAATTTTCCTTCATTCATGGCTCTCACATTCCATGTACCAAT